TATATATATATATATTTGCTGTGAGCTGGAGAATAGGTAGCGGGTGCAATTGCTTCTTGGGGTGAGCAATCTTGAGAGGTTTCAGAGACTAGACCAGTGACCTGTCTTCAAACACTGGAGCGTTGATTGGTGCATCACACAGGCTATATACAGTGCTCAAATGAAGTCAACAATTTAAAAAACAAAACCCTAGTCATGTCCCAGCACTAACTATAAATAAGATAGTCCTGACTATCAACCTGCACAAACCTATTGTTAGGTATCACAGTAACCAACCTTGTGCTCTAGCAGATTCAGTCTGTCTCCAGAGCACTTTCTGTTTGCCTCACCTGAACTAAATTGCCATTAAGGTAAGGTGTAAAACCTGGGGCTGACTAGAGGTCCCGGAAGGTTTTAGAGAGGAATCTGGGTGACACATAAACCCTGGACAGGACCTCTCCTGGCTTTCTACATGATGACCTGCTACAATATGTATACAGTACTGTGCAAATGTTTTCGGCAGGTGTGAAAAAATGCTGTAAAGTAACAGAATACTTTCAGGAATATTTTTTTTTATTATTTATTTTTAACAATTTACAAAATACAAACTGAGTGAACAGAAGAAAAATCTAATTAAAAGCAATATTTGGTGTGTCTTGTACAATCAGCCACACAGAAACTGGTGTCCATAAAAATCCAACTTTATTGTTGTAACATTCCAGATAAAATTCAAAATCAAACGAGTTATAGCAAATACATCACCATGGCATCTCTACCACACCAACGCCACTCACGCATTTCACCACCTGGTAAAGTTGAATTTTTATGGACACCGATTTCTGTGCGGCTGATTGTACAATAATTGCCAAAGGAGTGGGAGCATACTGTAGCCTGCACCCAGTGCATACATTTGACCTACAGTCAGAGGTAAAATTGGAGCGGTGAGTTCTTGGTGTTTTTCGGATATTACAATATTTGGTGTGAATAACCTTTGGCTTGAACCAGCATCAAATCTTACACTTGCACAAAGTCAGGGATTTTGTAGGATTAGAGTCAGGTGTATGATTAACCAAATATACCAAGCAGGTGCTAATGATCAATGATTTCAAAGGTAGGTTGAAACACAGTCACTAACTGAAACAGAAACAGCTGTGTAGGAGGCTTAAAACTGGGCTAGGAACAGCCAAACTCTTCTAATAAGGTGAGGTTGTGGAAGACAGTTTCATGTCACAGGTCATACACCATGGCAAGACTGAGCACATCAACAAGGTAGTTACACTGCATCAGCTAGGTCTCTTCTAAGCTTCCAAAGCAGACTGGGGTTTCAAGATGTGCTGTTCAAGCTCTTTTGCAGAAGCACAAAAAAACAGGCAATTTTTGAGTCACAATTTGAAATATTTGGCTAAGCAGGATGCAGTTAGTTCACTGAAGGGCTGAAGAGCGATACAATAAGGAGTGTCTGCAGGCAACAGTGAAGCATGGTGAAGGTCTGAGGCTGCATTTCTGCAAATGGAATTGAAGATTTGGTCAGGATCAATGGTATCCTCAATGCTGAGAAATACAAGCAGATACATATCCATCATGCCATATCATCAGCGTGGTGTATGATTGGCCACACATTTATTCTGTAACAGGACAGCAACCTCAAACATACAGCCATTGTCATTAAGAGCTATCTTCAGTATAATGAAGAACAATGAGTCTTTAAAGTAATGATTTGGCTCCCACAGAGCCATTATCTCCACAACATTGAGTCTGCCTGGGATTACATGAAGAGACAGAAGGATCTGAGGCAGCCTAAATCCACAGAACATCTGTGGTTAGTTCTCCAAGATGTTTGAAACAACCTAAAATTAAATAAATGAACTTTGCACGATATTCTAATTATTCGAGTGTCACCTGTATAATAATTGTATACACCCCTGTGCCACATGCCGCTCATATATGAAAGAGCACAGTGCTATGCGCGTTTGGCTGTTTCCATGGCAATACAGTGTGTTCTCACACAAATCTTAAAAATGTGAGGGCTAGTTCACACCAAGTGCGGAGCAGATGCAGAGCAGTTACAGAACCCATCAAAACTGCATCCACTGTATTCCAATGGTATTTTGGGCTGTGGTTCACACCAGGGTGTTCCGTTGCAGAGCACGTGGAAAAACTGCAGCATGCCCTATTTTTTCTGCTCTGGAACACACCTAAATGCATGCAAGCGCATCTAAAATGCATGCAAACACTTTGGAACGCACTGAAAGCACTGAGGCATTACATGAATGGTGCATGGGGCTGGTATGCATGGAAGAGCCTAATCAGATCTCACACCTTCCTCCCTGACTGACGGCTCGATGCCAGCTCTGCCCCCTCATACTCTTGTACAAGTATGTTTGTCTTGTTTTCACTTAATATTCCAGTTTTTTACTATGCTCTTTGGCTGTTTACTCTGACTTTTAACCATTGGCTACTCCTTTGAAATTGCTATTAGTTACTTGCCATAATTCTATCAACTGCAGAGCTTCAGCTGTAGAGTGTTTACAATGTCCTTAACCCTGACCAGCAGCCTCCTGCTGGTTCTCCCCAATATATACTGAACTGAGCACTCATTAACTATTATTTATACTTCACTCTGCCCACAGATAATGTAAGCTTAGAGAACTTACAGCTACTTAACATGAACATGTTCCACATCGCAGGCAATGTGCATGTCTGCACCAAACTTTGAACCTTATTGTGCATATCCCAAAGGTTGCTCATTGGCCTTAGGAAGCACACATTGCTTTAAAACTGTAAAAAGTATAGTGAATACATGTTACTATGTACAAGCTTGTGCGCTGTTTCAAAAGCCTTGCTCAACAGTAATCAGTGCAGTGAGCAGTAAATATGCATTTTGATTAAACAAAAACAGGATATAACGGGGTATTTTATTTTAAAATTTAGTTCATATTACTATATTTTAATATGAAAAAACATATTCATTCATATTCATTCATAGATGGTAAATGGACAAAATGGTTTGGAATTTATTCTCAAAAAGTACTTTTTAAAATCTGCTTTTAATATATTTCTGTAATTAGATTTTTTAATAAAAACTTAATGCCAGAAACATTTCAGAATGAAGTATTGGTATTTTAATATTGATTTCCTATGATAAGCTACATCCCAGAGATGAAACACTGAGTATAGCCCTGTTCA